ATCACTTAACCTATTTCTATGTTTTCTAATTACTAATGATGCTTTAGAAAATAATTTCTCAGCAGGTACTGAAGTTGCAGGTATTAAGAGAAAATCACGGGCCATCTTCGATAAAGTCGGATACTCTGTCTCATGCGTCCTCCACCAATCTAAAATGTCTTCCGAGCTGGCAGCTCTTGGTTTTCTCAGGTACTCCTCCAACTCGTCTATCACTAAGCCTTGAAGACAAGATCCAGATGACGTCGAGGGACATTCATACAGTTTATCACAGTCCATTACGTCTTCATCTTCATCACATACCTTATTTTCTTTTCTTGGTAATTCCAGAGATTTTTTCAGTGAGTGTAGACTGTAGTATTCTTCATAAAGTTCATTGAACTTGCGCAGGCTTTCTGTTTTAAGTTGCTTCCCCCATATTGTCAGGTCAAAAGTCTGAACCTTATGCCTTGGGTCTAAAATTAAAGAAGTACAATAAATCCAGTTGCTCTTCTTATAATGTTTAAGCATTTTGTCTCGAGCTGCTTGGAAAGCCAGAATGAGCCTTTCATCCACTTCAGATCGATTAGGTTTCTCATCTAACTGTTTTACCATGGATTCAATTTTATCGAGCAAGAGATTGAATGATACAATGACTAGCAGTAATGTAACATATTTTTCTCCACCAAGTTTTGTACTTAAAAGTTTAAAGTTTATTAGAAACTTATGTATTTTTTCGAGTATTTGCCATTCACTAGCGATGATTTGAAATACATTCAATTCGGTGACAGAACTGCACAATATGTTAATGCCCGTTCTCACTTTTAAACCAAATCCAATAATATCATGTGTGGAATTCCATCTCGTTGGACAATCAAGAATGGGATTCAGATTTGATGGCACGCCAGCTGCTTCACAAGCAGACTGAAACTTCTTCTTCACTATTTAACTTTTTTTATTCTAATGCATATTTTTCATCTTCCTCAGTTTCGTCTGCATAGTCTTCATACTGCTGATCTTGCGCGTTAGTTTAAGTCTCACAGTGTAATGCTAAGGTCTTTAATAAATCTTGTACACCAAGGTTTAAAATGTGAGCAAAGCACAGGAAATGTTGATTGTCTGAATCAAAGTGTGGTGGCAGCTGTTTGCCTAGTTCATGCATAAATTTGGTATTTGCAGTTGCGTTGTCGACCGTGATACCTTGTATTTTATCAATTATGTCATATTCCAATAAACATTCATAAGGACCCCCATTACTAAGACTTCGCTGTGTGTCTGTATGTCACCAAGCTGAATCTCATAAACAGTGAAAGTTAGACAGTTGAAATTCTCACAGATGGTGTTTTTATTTGGTGCAATAAATGAGTACAAAACCAATTGCACGATAATAGCTGCATTAGTCCAAGACTGTGTTGCGCCCACCTCGAACAGATAACAAATGCCACAAATAAAGCAAAACACAAATACATAAACGACAAATAATTATACAATGCACCTTAATAATAAATGATTCCACATCATCATAATTAAGTTCTTGTAACCATTCATTTAAAATTTGTTTAAAAACTCGAATTGGAAGACTATATTAATTAATCTTGTTATATAAAATGAAGCTGAAGTACTAATAATGATATTTTATAAATTTAATTCTACACCTTTCTATGGTACAAACTCTGTTTGACCGTCTAGTGTTTAAAACAAAATTAGGATCATAGGGACAATATGTGTGTTTACGCAGTAATAGACAAAAAACAAACAATTTACGAAAGGATTGTACTTTCCATAACTCGTATAGATCTTTGGTAGGGAATCGGACAGGTTTGAAAGCCATAACTTTCAGTACAGCCCTTTGTGCTCGTTCCAACTGTAATAAATGTGTCTTTCTAGCAGAACCCCAAAGAGTTATGTAGTGGGTCAAAATCGACTGGGCTAAAGAAAAGTAAACTGTGTTTAGAGTAGCCTCGTTGGCACAACCCCCAAGTTTACAGAAAACAAAAATTAGTTTCCTAATCTCAGTGATCATGGATTTTATATGCTCTCTCCATGTCATCACACTATCAACAGTCACCCCCAAGTATTTTACAGAGGAGACTCGAGAAATTATTTCACAATTGCATGCTTGATCAAAAGAATCTATGCATGTTCGAGAGGAGTCGCCTTCTGCGAGAGTTAAACTCACACTTGGCCGATTTTATTTTTATTTTCACAATCAGTTTCTTTAAGCTTCAAACCTTAAAGAAATCTAATGCATTTTAATTGCTGAATTGCTCTAAAGTCTACTGGTTATATTTTGATTATAATTCTTCAATATGGCAAAGAAGATTTAATATAAAAACGCAGTTGTTATTCGTTAATTGCAAATCACTCGATAATTCGAGGGTCTCGTTCTGGCTCGGCGTGGTAAAATTAAGTAAAAAATCGATGATGAAGTCGATTCTTATTTTGACGATCTCTTTGGTGAGTAAAATAAATACAACTAAAACTAACCAAGATTCCGTTTGTAGTTTAATATCTTGGAAACTTTAAGCAGTGGCGTTACTAAAGGGTAGCAAGTCGGCAAAATGCCACGGCCCCCCCAGCTGGAAAGGGCCACCGGTCAGAGACTCCATACTCCTGACATATTAGTAAAAAAAAATATCCTATGAATGTGCCACGGGCCTCGAACGGTATCACGCCACTGACTTTAAGGCGGTTGTTCCTAATCCTAAGAGCGGATCCAGGGGGGTTATCACAGGGTCATGACTAAATGGGCTGGGGCCAGGACCAAGGTGGACTACTAATTAAAAGTTTTACACATATGCTTTTATATATTGTTTGTCCCAATATAGATTTAATTTAAGCAGGTCTGTTGACAATGGTATTACAATCGGCCCGCTCCTTTTAATTTATGTTTAGTTGTACGTTAGTTTTAGTAATAAGATATTTAATTATTGTGTATGTGCCATACACAGTGATCCTTTGTTTCTAATAAATGTTTGTTTTCGCTGATGGTGCAAAACCAACGTCGGACTGGCGTGTTACTCTAATCCTATTGAGTTCGACCAATAGGAAGAGGGCGCTCACGCACATCTTGCCACCGCTGTAGCCAACCCTACAGTTTTTACTGTAGATCTACAGTTTTTTCCAAATTCTCTCAGTTTTTAGTTTAGGCCTCGAAATCTACAGTTTTTTATTTAAGATGCTAGCGTCATCTATTTTATTTGCTACGTATTCCGTACACTAAATCAGTTTCACTAAAACCTACTATTATCGAACCGGAGGTGATGGTCAACCAATTTAATAGATGGCGTTAGTGGTGGACAGTCGTATATCGTTTCGGTCGATGTCTGTTTTACCGACATTCTATTGCTTACTTACTCGGGAATCCCCGTTAATGTTTTGAATTTTATTTGACTTAAATGTTTGAGAATTTTGGAATTTAATTTGATTAAAACTTTGTCAATTACATGATTTTTATTGTTTTTAATTCCTTCGCTATAATGTATTCTATTTATTACTACTATCATTAGATAATAAAAATAATAAAAAGATAAAGATGTAGATTTACTGTTTTTTAATTTGATATTTACAGTTTTCTACAGTTTTTTTCAAGCATATCTGCAGTTTTGCTCTATGCTGGGGTTGGCAAAACTGCTTGCCACCCACGACCGGCCGGTTTAGTTTAGCAGCGAAATAGCGAGCAACGAATGCGATCCGCTATCGTACTTACGACGCGAACGCATTTGCACTATCGGCAGAAAATTTGTTTTATGAAAAGCAGAAGTTTTTATTTTAATCACCCATTCTCTTGAACTACAGTCGCCTAGCCTACAAGGTCCTTCCAAATTTTAATTGATTTAATATAATACTTTGTATCTATTATAAAAATTAAATTATAACTTCTTGTGAATTGACCATGACTATGTGATTCCCTTTCCTAATCCAGGCTTACCTTTTTTTTTATCTCCTAATTTGCTGTGACCGACCATAATACTTTAATTTTTGTTACGTCTTAATATTAAATAGTGGAATACATGAGTAGCTCGGTGGCGTAGTGGATAAGCGCTGCGGCACGCGATCGTTGTTAAGCAACTTTCGCAAAGGTCGGTCACGGGATGGGTGACCAAAAAATAAATAAATAAGGCACGTTAAGCCGTTGGTCCCGGCTACATTTGCAATCGTTAATACCCTCCAATCAGCATTGGGCCAGCGTGGAGGGTCATGACTCGTCCTCCTTAACCATCTATAAGGAAGGCCTGAGCCCCTGCAGTGGGGCAGTAATAGGGCTGATGAATGAATGATTGAACTACATAGTGGAATACAATAAAATAAATAAATAAATACCCCTTATTTATACGACTTAAAATTCATCATCAGATCTTAACGTTCCCACTGTGAGAGTCCGCTTCCCACTTGCCCGGTTTTTAAATATAATTATACTTCTTTTTCAGATACACTATAGTTACCCTGCTGCCGTGCATCCCGAAATCTTGGGTATTATATTTTTAATTTTGATAAAGTAAAGTACTTACAATAGGGATGATAACTGGGTAAAAAAATGCAATTCTATTTAGTCCGTCAGTCAGATAATAGAAAAATATTAGATACATATTTTTTTTTACTTCAATTTAACAAGAAATAGCTTAGAAACAGGCATTAAAGTTGAGGAGTGGGGGCTCGCTACGTCACAGTTGAGTAGAAAACGTACCATAACGTGACGTATTGCGAAATTTCAACTCCATGTAACGCCGTCATTTTATGATTACGAAAGAAATAAAAAAATACGTGTTTAATATTTTTTAACACTCTACCTGACGGACAAACAAACAAAAATTAGTCATCATCCCTATTGCGATATATCTTAGTTAGTAGTTCGATGGTGTAGTGGATAAACACCGCGGCGCTCGATCGTTATTGTAAATTAACTTTCACAAGTATCGATCACGGGATAAGTGACTGAAAAAATGAAAATTTGCTCCAATTTTTGCTGTCGTGTTGCTCGTCAGTTCTTTGATTGAACTTGGCTTGGCACGCTACCGTGTGTCTTGATAACATTATTGCGCAAAACCAATCATTTTAAATATACATCCAAAATAAAACTTCTTCAGAGTTAATTAAACACTTGTTAGCACCTAACCATTAGGTTTAACATAGTCTTATGACTTATGGTTCGGGATAAAAAAAATAACGCTAATTTAATTCGACTCAATATTTAACAATTTAAAATAACACAAATATTTCCTTAACAAAATACGCACTTCGACTTCACTATATCACGTCACTACTGTTACTTCACAACACTACATGGTCGTCCCGATAGTTCACTTCACTAGTTTTCGCCTCGGATCTCGCTTGTATTAGCTCTCGTATTCAGTACAATTGTTACTACACATTTTTCTCCACTAGATGGCGACTCTTGCAAAAGTTGATTTTTGCAGGAAACAAATGGACCAAAGACAGTCATTTCCGTTCCTTTTAACTAACATATTAAAAAACTGCAATTTGAAAAGTTCGAAACTTAGATAATAATACAAAAACGAAAAAGTACACGTAGTATATGAGTTGTTTACTGAGTTTTCAAATCTAATTTACTTTTAAACATGAAAGAAAACCGGAAGGGTTGTTATGGAGAAATCAAGAACGTACCGTAGTGACATCTAGTTTGATTCCGGGAACTAATGTTTTTTTTTAATACTTCCTCATTTAATTTTTAAGTGAATTTTGAAACTTCTTAATATTATAGTGTTATTTTATTTCATTGTGGCTCGAGAATTATTTTATTTTGACAAAACATTCGATATCAAAGGTCAATGTCAATTTTAAAATATATTCATAACATGATTAAGTATTTGCGCTCTACTCTTGAATCTATCTGAGAATCGATGAAACGAAATCAGATACAAATGATCTAATCTTTAGAAACATACGTTTTTAGCTTTCACTGAAAGAATACTGGGACGGGTAGTCCACCACGTATTTATAGGGATCGATACCACATCTAGAATGTTCTAGGCTAAGACCCAGAACATTGTAGGTTGGCCTCGGCCCTACCGGTGTATTCGAGACATTACCAAGATTTTTCCTTTCTTCCGACGCCTATATGACTCGCGTAGTTTCTACTGTCAGCGCGAGTCAGCGGCGCATAACATCTTTTAGCAAAGAGCAGACGAAACATCATTCCGCTGCGCTCCGAATCAATAGTACTTAAGTCATCAAATAAAATTACGCTACAGTTGTATTTATTAATTACAGCTCCGTACTCACCACCATATCCACCGCCGCCACCGCCGCCACCACCGCCACCACCCCCCGCCATTCCACCTCCACTACCGCCAGCACCACCAGTCCCGCCAGCACCACCGTCACCACCAGCACTACCATCACCACCAGCGCCACCGCCACCATTGCCTCCAGCACCATCTGCCCCACTAGCGCCACCAGCTCCAATTGCGCTAATGCCGCCACCATCTCCAGCACCAACAGCCCCACCAGTAATACCAGCAGCAAAAGCTCCATCAGCATCAAAAACCCCACCAGCACTACTAATTTCACCAACGCCACCACCAACCTCACCGTTAAAACCTGCTGATCCTGTTAATGATCCCGATGACCCTTCTGACCCTGATGATCCCGATGATCCTGATGATACACCCTCACCCGGGGTATCGACACCATCACCAGACATTCCAATTCCATTGAAACCGACTCCAGTAACACCAATCGAAACAAGTCCACCAGCTACATCTGCGCAAGAAGAACCTCTTAAGTCTACTGATGGAAGTCCGAATAAGAAAACGACAGAGCCAGAGTCAGAGCCAATATCATCATCTTCAAAATCAGAAACACCATCACCACCACCGTCCAAACCCCAGGTACCACCGTCCAAACCTGAAGCATTACCGTCTAAACCTAAGGCACCAATATCAACACCGAAACCACAGGAACAAAAGCCAACACCGAAACCAGAGGAACCAAAACCAACACTAATCTCAGATATATCACAGTCAACACCGAAACCAGAGGAGTCTAATCAAACACAGAAACCAGAGAATCCAAAACCAACACCAATCTCAGATATATCAAAGCCAACCCCAAAACCAGAGGAACCAAAGCCAACATCGAAACCAGACGAACAACAGCCAACACAGAAACCAAAAGATCCAAAACCAACACCAAAAGCAGAGGATTCAAAACCCACACCGATCCCGGAGATTCCAAAGCCAACATCAAAACCAGACGAATTAAAGTCAACATCAATTCTAGAGATTCCAAAACCAACACCCAAACCAGAAGAACCAAAGCCGGCACTGAAACCAGAGGATCCAAAAGCAACACCAAAACCAGAGGATCCCAAGCCAACACCTAAACCAGAGGATTCAAAGCCAACACCAAAACCAGAGGTATCAAAGCTGACATCGAAACCAGAGGAACAAAAACCAACACCGAAACCTGAGGAACCAAAACCAACACCAAAACAAGATGTACCAAAGCCAACACCAAAACCCGAGGATCCAAAAGGAACACCAAAATCAGAGATACCAAAACCAACACCAAAACCAGTGGAACCAGGGCCAACACCGAAATTAGAGGAACAAAAGCCTGCACAGAAACCAGAATATCCAAAACCAACACCAAAACTAGAGGTACCAAAGCCAACACCGAAACCAGAGCAACCAAAGCTAACACCGAAACCAGAGGAACAAAAGCCAACACCAAAACCAGAGGTATCAAAGCCAACACCGAAATCAGAGGAACAAAAGCCAACACCGAAACCAGTGGATCCAAAACCAATACCGAAACCAAAGGAGCCAAAGACAACAACAATCCCTAAGATACCTAAACCAACATCTAAACCAGAGGAACAAAAGCCAGCACCGAAACCAGAAGATCCAAAATCACTAACACCTCCAGGCTTTAAAAAGCCACCAATAGTTACACCTATAGTTAAGCCAGCACCTTCACAAGCAAAACCAAATACTCCAATAGCAAAAGCTATAGCAGTAGTAGATGCCAATAAGTCAGGTCCCATAGCACGTGCTGTAGCCACAGCATCACCAACAAAGTCAAATAATCCGGGCCCTTCAGTTGCAGCCGTAGCAGTAGCAGTACCATTATCAAAAATATCACCAGTACCTCCAAAAACTAAAAAACAACGTGTTGAGCCTCCAGTTAAACCACAAATAAAGCCACCAGTAAAATATTTAGGCAAACCACTAATTCCACCAGTAAAACTGACTACATCTTCAGTAAATACAGCATCAGTAGCAACAGCTTTTTCATCGGGTGTCTCGGCTAAGGCTGAAGCCGTAGCATCATCAATAATACCATTAACTATAAAAGCACCAGTCAAGCCTTCAGTTAAACCACCAGTAAAGCCACCAGTTCAACCACCAGTCAAGCTACCAGTTCAAGTTCCAGTCCAATGTTTAGGTAAACCATTAAAACCATTAAATCTACGACCAAAACCAGCCAAGCCTCCAGTTAAATGTCCAGCAAAATTAAGCACATCTAAAGCAACTGCATCTGCAGTTGCTTCTTCACTGGGTACTTTAGCTGCGTCTAAAGCTATTTCGTTATCAACATCAACTATAAAACTACCAAACAAACCATCATTTATGTCTCCGGTTAAACCATTAGTCAGACATCCAGTTAGGCCAAAAACCCCGCCAGCAAAAACAATAACATCTACAGCAACTACATCTGCAGTAGCAACAGCTTCTTCATCAGGTACTTTGGCTGGAGCTGAAACCACTGCATCATCCTCAACACCATTAACTATAAAATCACCAGTTAAAAATTCGTTTAGGTGGTTTGTCAAACAACCAGGCAGACGTCCATTTAAGGTACTACCTCAACCAGCAAAACCAATCACATCATCAGCAACTGCATCAGCAGTAACTACGGCTTCTTCATCAGATATTTTACCAATAACTACAAAACCATCAATTAATCTACCAGTCATGCCACTGACTTCACCATTAGAAACACTGTTTATACCATCATATCCACTAGCAAATCCAACTACATCAACAGCAACTGCTGCTTCATCAGGCTCCTCAAAAGGAACAGCCAAAGCCGATGCATCATCAACGGTATTTGCTACAATTTCATCAGTACCAGAAGCATCAAAAACAATATTACCTCCGGCAGCTATAAACCCAGTTTACATAACACCTCCAGTACCATCTCCAATAGCTAATCCACACCAACCTGGTGTAGAATGGAACTGGAACCGCCCTATAGCTCACGGAGTACCCAGAATTAACCCTCTACCTTTACCACCACATCCTATTCCTTCGTTTTATATCGATCCTTACCGACCATATAATTATTTAAACAGACCTTACAATTCCTGGCCCAAGCCAGTATTACCAAAAATTGGTAAGAAGAAATCTAGAAGACCAAAGATCAGAATTTTGAGAGGGGATCCTTCAACGTTCAAACAATTCCTAACTGCTGATGGAAAGATGGATCACAAGAAAATAGCTGCAACTTTGTTCCCACAAGAATACGAACAAGCTTTTGTACCAAATGATCGTTATTTATATCCAGAAGATACTTTTGTAAACGATGGCAGTGTCATAAAAGACAATGTAAACAGACAAGATGTGACTTTAAATCATGATCCAGTATTAAATCGACGCATGAATCCATCACTTGGTTACAATCCAGCATATCACCCTCGCATTTATAACAATTATCAGGCTAATCCATATATGTATGCATACTAAGTAGTAATATTTTAATTGTTTTGTTTTGTTTTAATTATTTTGTTTAAGGTCATTAAAATAAACGTAATCAAGCATCTTTTTATTACTAAAATTTTGTGTTACATTTTATAATTGCTAATGGTATATATTTAAAATAAGAATATCTCTTTTAATATAATATTATGAAATAAATAAGTCGTTACATTCAATACCCTACTATTTTGCTTAATTTCAGTTCAATTCAGAATAGATTTATTCAATTACAACTCCGATTACTCGATTGGGCCGTTATACAATTTCGTCATCTAGGACCCATAAAATTAAAAATAATTGGTTCACTTGTATTTCTGTTTTAGGAATTATTTCCTATTACAAGATTTTATCAGTTTTATGATACTATTATAACATATTGCTCGGGATGATAAATTAAAGCCAATTTAATTTACAATGCGACTTTTAATTTACTTAATAAAAATCACAAAAGCAATTCAACAACAAAATACACACTTCACTATTTCATGTCATTAATATCACTTCACAACACTATTAGATCGTCCGGATAGTTTTCACTTCACTAGTTTTAGCTTCGAGTATCGCTTGCATTCGGTCTCCGTTTCAGTTCACTTGTAACTGAAAGAATGCCGAGACAAGTTGTCCATCGAGTATAAGGCCGGCCGTATTTAGGAGGGCCTTTGCCACATCGTTCTACATTCGGAAATAGATCATTCTATGTAAGTAGGCCCTACCGTTGAATTCGAGTTCTGTGTATACGGTAAATGAGTATTCTTACTTCAAGTGAATCTTTGTTTTGACATACTTAACGATTGTTATCGCGCTGATATAGACATAAGTCCTCTAGCATGATTAAGGATCACAGAAAAAAAACATCTGAGGGAAGCTACGTAATACGCTAGGGAGATAGACTATAAGTAACGCAAGCGAAGTTGCGGGTAAACTACTAGTTTGACAGATATTCAAGTATTAAAAAAAACGAAAGCACTTAAAAACTTCCGCTAGATGGCGACTCTAGCAAGAGTTGATTTTTGCAGGAAACGAATGGACCAAAGACAGTCATTTCTGTTCCTATTAACTAATATATAAAAAAACTTACATATAAAAAAAAAACGAAAAAGCACAAATAAAAAGATTTGTTTATTGAGTTTTGAAAACTAATTTACTTTTAAACATGAAAGAAAACCGGAAGGGTTGTCATGGAGAAATGAAGAACGTACCGTAGCGACATCTAGTTTGATTACGGGAACGAATGTTTTTTTTAAATACTTCCTCATTCAAGAAGAAACCGATGCACATACTTACTTTCATAAAAAAATACACATACTCGTTGAACATTGAATCCTCCTTGAATTAAAGAATTCAAAATACTGTCTGTTGTTTTTTAGCTGAAATAAATACGTCATATAAAATCGAAATATTTAGGTGATATCTGATAAAAAGCTCGAGAACCGCATACTTAGTAAATTAGCAAAGTCGCAAGTTGATATCCCCTGACATGGGCTACATTTTTAAACTTTCAGCTTAAACATTAAACAACATAAACTTTCAGCTCATTCATCTTTATTTTCGCCAGCTCAGCTCATTCATCTTTAGCAAGTGGTAAATGCAGTAGCATTTGAGTTTCCATAATAAAGTTTAGCGATGTCATAGAAGTCTATATATTCTTAGAAATGTAGCCTCATACGTCACAGTGACGTCACCGTCGTCGGTCGTATGGTCTATGGTAGAAGGGGGAAACGAGGCAGTGTGGACGCGCCCCGACACTTTTGCTTATACTCCATTCATTATAACATTAGAAAAAAGAGGGTCATAGAAGCAGCAGTGCAGAACATTTTATTTTCAAGATAAATTTAAAAAATCTATATTAGTTTTGTTGAAACTTTGAACGTTAGGTAGTCTGAAAGAGCTGGGCAATTTTCCGTTTTTTATGATACCTCGGGGTTGAGATGAGGCCAGCATTTTATAAATTCATCTTTTAGTCCCAAGCCACCATGGAACTAAAACCGAAACTTTCTGTGTGTTTTGATAAATTCTAATTGTAAGTGTGATAAGTTAGACTATTGATGAAGACATTGGAAAAACTCCCTGAAATGTCAAAGTTTGAGGGTAGGTATGGGGGCTTAAAGCGTAATTTTTGTAGGCCACTCGGGCCTGTACCGGCATCGTCCATATTTACGAAAACTTAACAACAAAAATAAAACAATAACATCACGGAAAACGGCAAAACAACAAGAAAGGCAGTAGCATTCACAGTGGATGACAATCCCAGATTACGATTTTAACAATTATGAATAAATAATAGTCTGACAAAATTAAAAAGCTGTACTACCGAAACGTTTGAAGGGGTTAGGCAACGTTTCAAATTTGGTAGAGTTATAGTGACATGAGAATCGTGCCGAAACTATCCAACCCTGCTTCTTTAGGTTCTTTACGATGAACACTTTTTATTGTAATAGTTATTAAATCATTTAAGTTAGTCATATACTCATAAATTTGTTTAATAGATAGCTTAAATGACAACAGTTAAGTATAGCAGCTGATATTTAAGTGGATATGTAGCAAATTAGCCGTCAGTCTTAAAAGTAACATGATTATTGATATTTTGTCACAAAGTATACCATAAAAAGAACCTTATTTCACTTCTGTCTAATGCTATAATGAATGGAGTATAAATGTGTTCTGTGCTTTTGCTCGAGCGTCTGACTGCAACGGACATTCTCTCGGATTGCGTGCGACTATTTAGAATGTTGTTTAGTTGATTTACTTTTAGTTTTATATTAAATTCGTATCTTGTGCCAACGGCTGTTATTATTTTTTTTTAATCAATACTTCCTCTGCTCCATAAGATCAGAAGTAGGACTGCCCCGCGTTTTGCTCGTGTTTTACAATTTTAATAAATAAATAAGTTGCCAATTGAGCTCAGTGAACAGTTTATATCGGTTGTCCTCAGAAGTTGTCAGAGCTACAGAATAAGGAGTTTGATCTCGTGTGGAGCCAATATTCTCACTTTACAATACCTTAACTCCACTAACTCTACATTTTATTCAAAGCGTGCGGCTTATCTTTTCGCTAGCGTCAAAATTTTCACAGTACATGTTCACTACTGTGAAAATTTTATACTCCGTTCATTACCTATTGATTTGGTGATGATAGACTTTTATAAATGTCTTAACTAATTTTGAGTAGTGGCATAATTTGGCTAATGATAAAATCTATCAGAATCCCTTTCAAATGTATAGCGGTTGTGATTTATGATATTGTGTCACTTGTCAAGTTACAATCGCTTGATAACGAACGAACGAACGATGATTTGAATGATATAAATGTCATAGACAATAAATTTCATTTGACGTTTCTAAATAAGTTTCAAAAATATTTGTAACTATTAAATTCTTCTTCTTCTTCTTTTTTAATTCATGGCCTATTTGCATTTACACAATTCCGCCAATGTCACGTTTGTGGTCTTTACACGTATAGAAACAATAATAAAATATGTAAAATTTTGAATTAACTATTAAATTATTATATAATTCCTATTAACGTCAAATAAACATTATAGTTCATTCAATATCTTAAAAAAAGTTACGATCGCGATCGCATTTGCTATAAAATGTCAATTAGTTGTGACGTAAAATTCTTGAATATTTTCTTTAAGAATATATTTCAGTCTATCGTTGTGAATGCAAAATTTATGAAATATAATGATTTTGTTAGATAATTCGGCCACTGGTATCTTTCGCTCGTTCTTCAGCCAAAAGATGTCTTGATAGTGAAGTAAAAAAAAATGTTGAATGAGTCAAAAGTACTTTTATTAAGTTTATTTGAAAAATTATTTTGACTAGGCCTTGACGTGTCTTGACTTTATATTTACAGAAGTTATAATCTTGAATTGTGACGTAATTCTTGCAAACAAGCGTCCGATTGGTGATCAGCTTTGAGAGAAGGGAGGTAATGCGTTAGTTTGTAGATAATACACCCCAGTGGATCTGCAAAAAGACGAAAAGTATTTTGAGTGTAAGTTTTTCAATCTAATGAGTAGCTCGGTGGTGTAGTAAATAAGCTTCGTGGCCCGTGATCGTTTTTGTTAAGCAACTATTGCAAGGGCCGATCACGGGATGGGTGTCAAAAAATAGTATCTCGTTAATACCCTCCAATCGGCATTGGGCCAGCTTGGACTGACTTAAGATTGGGCCAGCTTGGACTGACTTACTTTAAATACGTGTGGTTTTCTTTACATTTTTTAAACCCCTCCTCCCTCTTGGTGATACATGGTGAGGTTTAAGACCCGCCCCACACCCTTCACCCAAACCACCTGTATTTTAGTGCCGACAAAATATCTTAGTTTTTGACGTCGCTTTTTTATTTAGTAATCACGCGTTTGAGGAAAAAATAAATACACGCGATATATAACTACACCCCCCCTTGTGATATTTCGTGATTTTTGACGAACCCCTTCCTCCCTATGGCCCCTTATTTGATTGAATTTTAATTTCATAGTGTGTACATATTCTAACGTTTTGTCTTATTTAATGGTCATAGGTACCTACTATACCTTTTGAAGTGTATGTACTATATTTCAATTGCTTCGTTAAAAAGAAACTTTATTTCATCGAAGAAATGTTGGCAACCCTATGTGTAGGTGGTAGGTCCAAGAGCGCGACCGCCTAACTAACTCTAGCCAAAGGGAACGACATCTTATCGGTTCGTTACATTTTATTATTTTGAAATGTCTTTTGGTGAATATACAACTAAGTTAGTAACACTGCTGATAAGTCTATAATCATAATTCTTTGTTCTTCGTTCGTTATTAAAATAAATGTCAAAGTAAAAAATTTAAACTATGCCTAAAGTCATCGCTTGAAGGTTAGCGGTCGCACCCCTGAGTTATTTAGGAATTGACGCGTCTTAAATATTACTTTTGACTTACCCAGTTTTTGGTTTGAGTCCACCCAAGTTTAATGTATTCGCACCATTGCAATTGCCGCTTAAAGCATCTTGGTGGTTCG